CCAAACAGCATAATACTCACTCCACTTTTTTAGTGTGGGGATGGTGTTCTTTTTGGGTTGTACACCTCTCCAGTATGAATATTTTTTCTCCAGGTTGTGTTTAGCATACGTCAGACTGGCTTCACAATGTCTCATCAGCGAGTTTTTATCGGTCCGCATGCTGGTCTGAAATAATTCTGTTATTGTGCACGAATAAAAATAATAATTTGTGCTTTCTAAAGAAAACTTTCAAATGTTTCTTTGAAAAATGTTTGCTCTTTTAAAAAAGCACTAGGAAAATTTATAAAACCTTAACTTTAAAATGGAGACAAATAATTGTGACCTCATCTGCTTATGAAGAGTACATTATAATTATATTCTAATACATTGTAATAGAGTAATAAGTATAATATATAATAGACTGATCAATTTCTGAAATACTTTTTAATCAGAGTAAAATATCAAGTCATTTAATTTTTTTGTATATTGATCTAGTCAGTTAAGTAGCAGAGGAGGTTGTTAATCAATTTCTGCTTCTTTGATGTTAATACTGTCAGCAGTTATACTAGAAGTGCAACAATGAGACAAAAGCCCTGGACTTTTCACAGATGAGAGCAGGTTCACCTTAAGTACGTATGACAGGCACGCAAGGTTCTGGAAAAACCATAGAGAATGTTATGCTGCCTGTAACATCGTTCAGCATGACTGTTTTTGTGGTGGGTCAGTGATAGTCTGGGGAAGTAAATACACAGAGGTACTCACTGACCTTTACAGGTTTGGCAACAGCACACCAACTAACATTAGGTTTTGGGATCAAATCCTGGGACCCATTGTCAAACCCTACACTGTTGCAGTGGATCCTGGGTTCCTATGGGTGAACAACAGTGTCTGGCCTCATGTGGCGAGGGTATTCATGCAGTTCCACGACAATAAAGGAATTGATATTACTGGCTGTCCCCCTCGCTCACATGACCTAAATCCAGCAGGCCTCTCTCTGGGAGATTATGTTTCAGTCCTTCCCATGCCACCAGGTTGAACCTTAGACTGTCCAGGCGTGTGAGAGGCGTGTGGCCTGGTGAGATATGGAAGGAGATCTCACCTCCTTCCCACAGGACACCAAACCTCGTCTCATTATGTGTATATGTCAACATTATCAGGCATGCATGCAAGTGGTAGTTGTATACATGCCTGAGTTACTACAATGTTCCAATGAACTTTTAAAAATGGACAAAATGGATTAGTCTGCGTTCAGCCCTTTGTATATTGATAATTTTCATTTCCACCAAATGTGTTCTTTTCCTAAAACATTACCCAGTCCATATCAGTACAGAGATCCAGCATGATTTCTTTTCCTTTGTCTTTTTTTTTCAGTAGTGTTAACACTATATTGCCAAAATAACTATCTCACCCATCCATATCATTAAATTCAGGTGTTCCAGTCACTTCCATGTCCACAGGTGTATAAAATCAAACACCCAGGCACGGGCAGTAGCAGGAGCTCATGGAATGCCAACATGGCTGATAGAATGACACCTGCGCAACACGTCCAGTCATGAAGTTTTGTCACTACCAAATTCTCCACAGTCAACTGCATGGTGTTGCTCTTAGGCAGCAAACCAAATTTTTGGTTATTACACTGTCCCTTTATTAAGTATTTACTTATTTTGTGACACAAAATACCTCAGTGTTGATTAAAATTGAGGAGTAGCAGATGATTTGACCTTTGACCTGGGGCAATTCTTTCATGTGCCAAATCTGCACATGGCACAGTGCTAGCTACTGCTAAGACTAAAACCATTTTTATTCATGTTTAAATTGAATTAACTGTATTTTAAAAAAAAAAATATGTGCATGTAGAATAATATCTGATGAATTATTTTCAGTTGTTTATAGACAGATTTACCAAAACAGCATGTTTTGGTTTGCTGCCTCAGTGCAAAATTATGCAGTTAGGCCACTTTTCCTCTAGCAATAAAAATATACGCAATGGTTTTAAATTCTGCTCCTTTCCACTGCTTGTTTTAGGTTTTTAGGTTTATAATATTGTCATAATATTTAATGACATTATATGACCAATGATGACAGCAGTAAGATCTACTTGATTAGTTAAACTTTTTATACTTTTTTATTAGTACTTGTTTTAATGAGCCACATAGTCAAAGTAAACAGATATTATAGACACTAATTGTATTGTTGTTGTTGAAGGGTACCCAAGCTGAAGTTTAATTGCTCTCTAGGGCCAAAGACATAATAACCTGTTGACCATTTTGACAGTTACTAGTCTTAACTTAGCAATTAGCTGTTTAGAGACTGGCTGTAGTCAGGCCACTCGTCTGAGGCTTGGCCTGTTGTTTTACACAGCGCAGGTGGCACCAATGCATGCTCACTAATGACACTCATTACAGAATCCTTATATCACCTGTGGGCTGTCAGTTTACTTTTTATACCATCACACAGTTATTATTTTTTTCATTCTTCTAAGGAGCTCACCCACAAAATTTATTAACTGCTGAAAATGCATCACAAATCCTGTCCTGTCATCATAGTTGTCCAATACTTGTAACATCACAAGCAATAAACAGGACATACTTATACAAAAATGATTTTCAGATTTGGAGTCATTAAGTGAAATTTGTTAAGGTATAGGTGAAAAATTCCTAGCAGCAAAATGATTTGTTGACAAGGGATTTCAAAATCCAAGACTGTTTACCCCATAATCATTTTGAAAATCTTTTTTGAATCCTGGAACAATTATACAAATAAAATATCAATGAAACTCAGGCAAATGATAATAAAAACCACCATATTAGTGTGTCTAAATGTTAGAAACCACTTAGGCATATGTAAAAGTGCTGTTATGAATTGTGTGCCTACCACCCTAGGCAAGACCCGTGGTGCAGGGTGTGCAAAGATGCACCTGAGACGATCCAACACATAACAGGAAGGTGCAAAATGCTAGCAGGCAGGGCATACATATCATGCCATAACCAAGTGGCCGGAATATTATACAGAAATATCTGTGCCGTGTATGGCCTGGAAGTCTTGACGTCAAAAATAGAAAGACTCCCCCTAGGGTGGTCAAGAATTAGCCGAGCTAAGATCTTGTGGGACTTCCAGAAACAGACGGACAAAATAGTGATGGCTAACCAACTGGACATAGTGGTGGACAAGCAGAGGAAGGGGGCTGTAGTGATAGATGTGGCGGCACCGAATGACAGTAACATCAGAAAGAAGGAACACAAGAAGATGAAGAAGTACCAAAGGCTCAGAGAAGAGCTCGAGAAGATGTGGAGGGTGAAGGTAACAGTGGTTCCAGTAGTAATTAGAGCACTTGGAGATCCAAGATCTCTGTCCAGAAGAGTGCAATCCAAGGAACAGAAAGGATACTGCGCAGAATCCTCAAGCTCCCAGACCTCTGGTAGAGGACCCGAGCTATATGTATATGTAATATTTTGTTATAATTTATAGAATTTGAAAAACTTTAAAACTTTGCTTTTTCTTTCATTGACATTGATATGTCAGTTACAATACAAAAAATGCTTGTCAGCATAATAGACTGGTAGCAATTGATTCATTTTACTAAATTATATTTATCCATTTACACAATAGTAAATTAGAATCTGTGACAAAACAGACAGGAAAATGTGAAACACGGGCATATGAACTATTTAGACTTCAAAGATTACCAGCAACAGTTTAATAAATTGTTTATCTTTGTATAATGACCATTATGTTCGCTATCAATCTTGCATGTGAAATCAGAGCTAAAGTACTCCATTATCTGATATGCCATTCATTTGATAATACCAGTGCAGTAATACCAGTGTTATTAAACTTGACACAACAATGTCTTGATATGTTTAAAAATCTCATTCATTTTGAGTCCATATATGATTGGATTTAAAAGAGGATGGAATAAAATTGACTGAAACGTCAATGTCAAGCGAAGAGTTTTCGACAGATCGGAATCCAGTCTAATTATAACTGAATCAAAAACAATAAAACATGAAAAGTTGATTAACACCAGCAAGTGGGGTAAACATGTCTTTAGAGCTTTTCTCCTTGTTTCTCTACAACAATTGATAGATATTCTAAGAATCCTTATGTATGTAAAAAGTATGAAAAACATTGGTAGAAGGGCAATATTTATCAACGTGACCACACCATATATAGATATTGTGACCGAGGGCACACACTGAAGCCTGTAAATTGAATTGTTACAAAAAATTCCTGTCAGAGTAAAATTACAGAGTTTTACATTAAAATAAAGCACAAATGACACTGCAATCTCAAAAGCAGGTATAAGCCAAGCTAAAATCAGAAACATATATATAGTTATTCTATTCATAATAACTGGATATTGCAGGGGTTTGCATATAGACACATACCTGTCATATGCCATTGCTGCCAACAGTAAAAACTCTGACCCAGCTGAGGCATAATACGAAAATCCTTGGAAAAGACAGAGTGGATACGATATAGTCTGTTTTTCAGACAAAACATCAGATAAGAGCTTTGGATAGATAATCATGCTGTAAAGGACAGAGTTGATTAACAAAGCTGCAATAAAAATATACATTGGCTCATGAAGGTTTTTGCAAGTCCAAATAAGGTACACTATAGTGGAATTAAAGCAGAGTATCAGAATATATAACGTGAATATAACCACAAAATAAAGGTATCTGTATTTGTGCAATTCTGCAAACCCACCAAGAGTTAACAATGTTACATTTAATTTAACATCCATTGAATAAAAAAAATGTTACTGACTATAGAATTTGATTACATAAATGGTATTCAAGAATAACAAACCAAAAGATAAGCCTTAAAGTACTGTATTAATATATTTCCTGCACCGAACTGAGAAGGTAAGTGACTGACTCTGTGGTTTTGTTTTATCAGAAAACCTTCCATCCTCTATGGGACTCATTAAGTTCTCCACTAACATGTAAACAACTAATGAATTGACGTTTATAGTCTTATGCCCTTCATTTTGTTTGCCCATGCATTTGTTTTTAAATCCACGGTACTAGTATAAGCTTAGTAAAAGCAAAAAAAGTCACGGAAACCACTACTGCCTTCACGCTCAACATTTTCTCAAGCTCTCTTCTCAGCCAATGATAAGTCTCAAGCGTATTGTGTTCCTTCATCCTCATGTTGTTAACACTTGATATAGCTATATCTATCACTACAGTCATCTCCCTCTGCTTGTCCACCACTATTGCGTCTGGTTGGATAGATATCACCAGTTTGTCTGTCTATATCAGGAAGCCCCACACTTAGCTTGGTCATTTTCAGCTACCTTGGGGGATGTATCCCATTTTGACCTCTGGACTTCCAGGACATTGCTGCACAAATGTTAATTGATATACTTCCAGCCAACCAGCACCTGCTGTTATGTACTGGATTGTTTCAGGGGCATCTTTGCACAGTCTGCACCCAGGGTTTTGCCTGGGGTAGCAGCCTCTATGGATTTTATTCTTAGAGCTTGTTCTTGTGCTGCCATGATTTATGATGTTTTGTCTTTCGGTTCAGCCTTGTCCAGCCACTGGTAGGATTTCTGGATGTCAGCCATGTTTTCTATCTGCTGGTGATCCATACTGTATGGGGATCTGTCCTTCCATGATGGTTCGTCTCCTTGCTCCTCTTCCTTCTAAGGTTTGGCTGCCTGACGTATTCACTAAGCACACATGGCCATCTTCCATATGTACTCATGGATGATCATTGACTCATCCTGGATTGTGGTTCTGATACTCACTAGTCCTCAGCTTCTTCCTTCCTCTTAGCTTACAGTCTCAGGGTACAGGACCTTGGGTTAAACCCCCCATGTATGTAAAGAGTTTTCCTTATATTGATGTCAGTGACTCCTATCGCCTCCTTTGGCTAAACCGGTGGTTCCCAAACTTTTTTTGCTGGGCCCCCCTTTGTTTTACAAGAAAAATGTTCGCGCCCCCGCGTGCACACGCGCACGCACACGCACGCACACATCCTCCAACCACACACCCATATTTTGCTCCATTGCGGTTTATTTCACACCTCAAACATTTAGTAAACAATTAAGCAAATACAAGTAATGTGCAATAAATTACAGGTAGTGATAAAATAAACTACTAACTCTTTTACGCTGCGTCCGCACCTACACAGGTATTTCTGAAAACGCAGCTGTTTCGTCCACGTAAACAACGTTTCTAATCACCGAAAACTGGGATTTTTTTAAAACTCCTTTTTTGCCTTTAAGTATGGACGAGGAATACAGAGTTCATCATGCAACGTCAAAGGTATGTGCCTTTTTTCACGTCACGCTGTGCGCCACGATATTGTTTACATGAGATGAATTGCAGAATGGCAGATAGAGACAAAATACTGTTAATCTGACTATCTGCAGGTTTTACACGCAGTTACTGTCCCTCAATTTAGAAAGGCAGAGGCATCACGATGTGATTATTTTACATGTAGTTGTTTTTTTCATGTGTAATAATATTCAACATTGCTATCAATACATTTTTCAAAAAATGCCTCTCTGTGCAAAATGGGTTTAAAAACATAAACAGCTGTGGGATACTGTTTGTCCGTGATTTGAACCGGGGAACAAATTGTGGCAGGATCAGCCTGATATTATCCCGCTGTAACTTTACTGTATAAAGAGCTCACATCTCCAAAACGTCAGGAGTAGTTAGTTATTACAACAAGTGTTTGTGAACTAAAAATCACTAATGTGGGATACTGTTTGCCCGTGATTTAAACAGCCCAGCGCTACTCCCAACGAAGGGAAAACCAATTCTGCAGGGGAGACCTACCTTGGCAGTTGTGCAAGTGAAACCAAAGGGAAGATATGCTTCACCATATTTTCTAGTCTTTGGCTTAGAATGAAGTTGG